AGGACTCATCTATCAACAATCAATATATATATATATATATATATATATTATTATACGAATAAACCTTGACGCATTTGCTTTATTATATTTTTATTTAGGATTATATATGGAGCTTTTCACGTTACAGAATTTTTTTCTAATTACATTGTTCGCTGGGTTCCTTCCTACTTTCTCATCAAAACAATATTTCTTTTATGGTAAGTCAATGAACCAACCAATCAATTATTATTATTGGCACACAATTGATATATCTATTTATACATTAAAAGGCTTTCCTTTCCAACGACTCAAGGCGCAAAAGTTATTTACGAAAAAGCAGCTAGACCTATTATTTCAGAATATGAAAGCGGCGATAAACTTAATGAGTGGAAACAGAAAATGGAAAATGTTAAACAAAAAATGGAATCTAATAAGGAAGAATGAATCAATAAATAGTAATAATAATAATAATACACATGTGTGTAATATGCATATGACATTCGTAGCATTGGATTTGTAATATTTTTTAATATATATATATATACATATATTTACCACATTCTAAAAAATCAATAAAAATTCGCGCGTCACAATCCCTTATTTTTTGCAATATTAAAATTATGCATTAATTTACCCAGTTTAGTTTTTTGTTTGCCATTCTTAAAATATCACCTTTTTACAAGAAAAAGTTTACTATCACAAACTTATTCGCGGTAACCAAAAATAATAGTTATTTGTCATCCACAAAATTGTGGTACATGAATTGTCATACAACACTTGTGATGACGAATTTTTTAATTAAAAATCAATAATAATTATAAAAAAAAAATATGGAATTTTATCAAGGCCTATCTGTTGACTTGAGCCATCTTTTAGAAGAATCTGATGATTATGATGTTATAATTTACGCTGGTAAAGAGCCAAACATCAAAAAGTTTCACGCTCACACAGTCATTTTACGTGCAAGGTCTCCTTATTTTCGTAGAGCTTTGTCAAGAGACTGGATTAGAAAAGAGAATGGTTCAATTATATTTCAAAAACCTAATATACCCCATCAAGTATTTGAAGTAATTCTCAAGTCAGTATCGTTATTATCATTTTGACTTTAGTCTACAAAATAAATTTACAATAATTTATAATTAATTAATTAATCCAGATATATTTATGGTGGTACAGCTAATTTATCTAAACAAGAGGGAGATGTTATTCTTAATTTGTTAACAGCTTCTGATGAATTGAATTTGGAAGAACTAATTGCATATGCACAAGATCATCTTATCAAACAAAAATCAGATTGGCTACAACAAAATCTTCTCGAAGTCTTATCAACGGTAGCCTATTTAGAACCATGTAAAGATCTCCAGGATTTCTGTTTGGGAATAATCTGCCAGGATCCTTGTTGGTTATTTAATTCAGACAATTTTTGTGCACTAGATGAATCTGTCCTGATCCCACTTTTAAAACGAGATGATTTATTGATGGAGGAAATAGAAATCTGGGAGCACTTGACTGAATGGGGTATAGCTCAAAATTTATCATTAAATAATAAGAATATATCAAAATGGACTTTGGAAGATTTTGATTTATTGAAAGTCACTCTTCAACATTGTATACCATTGATTCGCTATTTCAATATTGACTCAGCTGATTATTATGATAAGGTGAGACCTTTTGAAAAGATTTTGCCTGTTGAGCTAAAAGAAGATATTCTACAGTATTATATGAAAAGGTAAACATTAACATGAATTCAATAATGAATACTGATATTGATTTATATATATATTACTTGGTAACTTGCACATGACATAAACCATTTTCCAAAATTATTACTATTCGCACCGATTCTTCTCAAAACTATTGGTTTGTTACAATAACATCTTGGCACAGAAGGCGTATTGATGGGAAAACCATTTATAGTTTCAAAGAAAACGCAATATGTAAAGTTGAAAAAAGGACATGTGTTTAGCTCGGGATGATTCTTTTGCGATCCTCTTCCATAACATAATTCATTCCATATTGGTTGATGTACATGAAAACCGCATATACTATTTTCCTTTTGTTTGCAAAGGTCAGATTCAATGTTATTATCAACTATTTCTTCCGTGGTTGATGTTAATGAAGTAGATAAAGCGGGTGGAGTGATTGAAATGGATTCTTCAATAGTTTCCTTTAAATAGTATCTCTCTGAATTCAATAACTGGATGTAATTTCTTACATATAAATAAATAAAAACATTTTGCCTACCTCTTCTGACAAATAAGAAAATTTGTATTTTACATTTGTGATCGCATGGTTTTCATTGTCATATTCAAGTAAACTCCCTAAATTCCAAGGATTAGCATGTTTAACATAATAACAATCATAAATAAGAATTCCCGGTCTCTCTGATAGACGACAGGATGCAATTTTTCCGCAAAAACATGTCGGTATGCTAGATAAGTTGCGAGAACATTCTTGATTCATTTTTATCGTTTATTTTTAATTTTTTGTTACACAAAATCTAAATATTAAAATTTAATTCATTATCATCATCAGAATAAATTTTTAACAACAACAATAGATAAAATTTTCCTCCCAAACGAAAAATTGTTCTTTTTTAAAAAATAAACATACTCATGCTTTAACCATGTCAAGTTTAAAAAAACAAAGCTCAATGTCACCAGCAATCGCTTCATCCTCAACTACAAACAACACTATTGATACTGCTAACCAGATAGAAGAAAATACAAACATTGTAAAGTCAATGAAAGAAACTTCGGTGATTATTGCATTTTGTGAAAAATTTGGTTCGCTCTTGAAGGGAATTGAATTTTGGCCAGAGGTATTTTTTCTTAATATTCTGTAAAATAATATATTATAATGTGCGATGGATTTATGATTAATATATATGCTTAAATAGGAACTTGAGTATGCACTCGCACAAGAAGCACAGAGTGAACTGGTAGAAAAGATACATTGTGCATTTCTAACTAATTGTTTAAATCGAAAGAGACTCATAGAGTAAGTATGGATGCAATTAATAAAGAAAAATTTTAAATTTTAAAAAGAAATTTATTAATTCATTAATTAATTACAGAGGAAATGCATGGAAAAAAATCTTGTCAGAAACTATTGATAAAAAAATTAAAATGAATAATCAATTCTATCAAAATTATAATCCCTTACGACAAGTCAACGACTATTATGAACTTGATGTTGAAGATAAAGTTAGTAATAATAATAATAATAATAATAATAATAATAATCAAAATTTATCATAAAAATCATGAATACTCATTTGTGACTATAAATAAACATATATAATATATAGGTATTAATATTAAATAAATTAGTCACATGGCAATTACAAGAGTCTAATGTAATACGAGAAGCCATTTTTCAAATCGGAAGAAAGGTTCGCAATAATGATATTGATGTTTTGCCATTTGGCGAAGATAAAAAAGGACGCGGATACTATTATTTTGGAAGTAAGTGACGTACATATTTGGGTTTATCTTATTTTTGTATATCTTTTTTATACTTGATACTTTTATACTTAATACTTTTATACTTTACAATAAATAATATTTTTATTTAGAGGGTGCAAGAATTTATCGTGAAACCACCATCATAAACAAAAGTAAAAATCAAAAAAAAATTATTTGGGAGCCAATAACAACCACACTTGAAGAATTAGAAAACTATATCAATAATTCAAACGAGTTAAAGGCTTCAGCGGGAAAAGACAAACAACTTCGAAATAAAATTAATAATGAACTTATTCCAAAAATAAAACAGGATATTGAAGTATATTTTACATAATAATAATATTTAATTAATATTTTCTTCCTCCTTAAAGTTAATTGATTGGTTGATTGGTTTATTTTTCTCCTTAAATTTTAAATAGGCAAAAGAGAAGCTTAATGCAAAAAGAATTCGTAAAGAAAAAAACGCACAACGTTTAGCAGATACACTTGCAAATATTGAAATCATATCAAGCAGGACACGTAGTGGTGCTAGAAGGGCAGCAGGTCTTGATAATAACACATCAAGTACACGAAATGACGACAATTATGTTACGTCTTCGAGTCATTACATGACAAGATCTAAAAGAGTATGTGAAAATGATAAAATTGTAACTAAACGAAGATATGAAGAAATTGCTGACGAAGAAGACAAAAACGACGGCTTTGAAGAGGAAGTAGTAGAAGAAGATAGCAACACCAATTATGTTGATGATAATTATATACTCAATAATAACACCACAAGTACCACTAGTAGAAGGAGAAAAATAGATGTTTCAAATAACACCGATAATAACATTAATAATAGTGTAAACGCAGTTTCAGTTGTAATTAGTCCCGTCGATACTAGTGAAATAATGACAGAACCCATGAGTCGTTCGATCTCTACAAGTTCCACCGCCTCCACAACTAGTAATGGATCAAAAGAAACAACAGGCACAGAATCATCTGTTCCCGAATCCGTTAGCTCCAGATATAAGGAAATATTTGGATCAGAATCTGAAGTGGAACCCTCGGAACCCGATGAATATGTAGTCTCTGAACCAGGATCAAATGACGATGACGACGAAGACGAAGACACCGAATCAGGCGATTCGTTTTTTCAATAATAATAATTATTATAATGATGATGATGACGTTATTAATAATAAAGAATAATTTTAAAAATTGATTCAAAATAAAAAATTTTTAAGTACAACTACGGATGTGATTGATTGTTGCACTACTAAAATACTGTAATACTAATAAATTGACGAGACACTATTACTATATATTAATTTAAAAGATGAACTTTCTATTGGTAGATTTTCCACATTACACGAATGAAAATTTAATTTTGTTTTTATTTTTATTTTTATTTTAATATTAAGATTCTTGAGGGGGGGGGATTTTTACTCTTGTACGAAAAGAAAAAAAATATAATTTTTTTTTAAATAATTTTTAACCTTCACACTCTTTTTATTTCTTAAAAATTAAAAACATAATTAAACATTCTTTTTTTTTTATTTGTTTTATTAATTAATCAATCATATGTCTTACATTGCATATACATATATATAATTAATGTATGCAATAATAAAATATTTTATTTTTTAAATATTACAATAAAAAAATAAATAATATAACAAATTTCTTTACTCTCTTTAATTTTTCAATTTTTTTAACTTTATTTTAATCATAATTTAATCAAGTTATTATTCGTATTTAACATATATTATAACCTCTTAACAATTAATTAAATAATATATTAACAGTTCATGTTTTCAGACAGAAGAAAAAACAATATATTACCACCACCTGACATAGATTATGCTACTCCTCCTAAAGATAGTTTGATTGAAGATTTGAGGTTTGCACTTGAACATGCTGGTGACTTATATGCTGATGTAGCTTGGGAATTCACATTCACACTTGATCAAACCATTATTTTTGCTCATAAAGGTATTGTGTTCATTATCTAAAGATTTTTTAATGGTAAAAAACTTTGATTAATTAGATCATATATAATCATTACATAATAGCAATTTTATATGCAAGAAGTTCACGTTCATTTCAAGAACGTTTTCTAAAAAATAGAGATTCAAATGGAATGTCCATAAAATCGGTCAGGTTGTCAAATCTAGACTCCCTAATTGACGCAATAATTGTTAAAACAGATGCCGATCCTATTTTATTTCAACAAGAATTAAACTTTTTTTATACTGGTGAGGAAGGTAGCGAGGAATTTTTGGCAGCTGTAGACACAACAGATGAATTGGAACAGGATAAATTAAAGGAAGATTTAATATACATGTACAAATCAAAATTGTACACCGACATTGAAATAATTTTGGAGTATCCACCACAAGATAACCTAGAAATCATAAGTGAAGAGGACGAAGAGTTAGATTTAGTTAGATCGGTGACTTTTAAAGCCCATAAATTCATGTTAGCGGCAAGATCTGAATATTTTAGGGAGATTTTAAGCTCTTCAAATCCTATGGATCCCAAGGCTGCTACCATATATCTGGACACTTCAATATTCAGCCAAACTGCTTTTAATATGATACTTGAATATATTTATACTGGTAATTTACAATATTCATTAACTTTAGAAACCTGTGAATGGATCTGGGTGGGTTCTTATTATTTAGGGATAAAGAATCTTTGCGAAGATTGTATTCATAGAATCGCAACAAGACTTCATTATTTCACATGTACTTGTTCCGAGTGTCAAATTGCTATGCCCAGTGTTGCTGCTTTTGCAAAAGAATACGATGTTAAGAAATTATGGCAGGGTTGTTTACACGTTTTAACAAAAGGCTTTGATATTATGTGGCCTCATAAGAATTTTGCTGAACTTGATGGGATAGTAAGGGAAGAAATATTGCTGGCACTCGTGACAAACATTCAAAATAGTGATATCATGTCAATATTTAAAGGTTGTAGGAAAATCATATCAACAATCAATGTCAAAAATATAACGGATTCCCCTTGGATAGGGGTAGTGCGCAAAATGACTAAACAAGTGAAATCTTCTGCCATAAAGGTATTAGTAGAAAATTTTGAACAGGTATGTAATGAGGGACATGAATTTTTGGATTGTGTTGATGGAGTTGGTTATAGTCATGGATTTTTAGAGGACATTATGTCAGGTGTTGTACATGAAGGCTTGAATGAACAGAATTCTGCTAAAGTACTTAAAAGCATATCAAGTAAATTATTAACTAGACCTGCTGTTATTAATGCAAAAAGTATTGAGACAAAAAGAATATTGGTTGAATCAAAACAATATGTGTTTGAATACATGAAAAGACATTGTTTGAATATAAGACAAAATGGTGGTTTTAAATTGTTAAACTCTTGGCTGCTAGAAGAATTTTCACACAGTCTTGGCGTTAGTACTCAAGAACTACTGACAGTCGCCAATCCATCACAAACACACCATAATTTAAAGAACCGAATATCGCCTAGACCAAGTTTATCAAGTTTGAGAAGCATTTCTTCAAAAGAAACTAGTAATAATGATGATACTTCATCAGAAATATTGAAGGCACTACCACCATTGCCGCCATTACCGCCGCCTTTGCCATCATCATCATCATCAAAAAAATCATCTACAAAATCATCATCATCGTCATCTTCTGCATCATCTACATCGTCTGCATCATCATCCACATCTTCTATATCATCCACAATAACATCGACGGTATCAGCTATATTAACAGAAGATCCATCAGAAACATCAAAAGATTCAAATCCAATAACAGAACCTTTTGCAGAACCTTTTACAGAATTCTCACCAATAGTTATAACAAAAGAAGTTTCAATAGAAATTTCAATAACGACAACAGAAGATTCACCACCACCACCACTAACATCACTACCATCACCGCCACCGCCACCACCACCACCGCCACCGCCATTACCATCACCGCAGTCATTACCATCACTACCATCACTACCATCCCTACTATCGCCGCCACCATCACCACCATCACCGCCTACAAGAACAACTGATGCTACCACTACAACAAAAACAAAAACAGAAATTTCGCCAATAATAATAACTTCACCAATAACGGGCGTTTTATCAACAACACCAGACGACGATCTATCAATAATAACAAATGAAGAAATCAATGAAATATTTGAAAGATCTGCAATTAGTTTACAAGAAACTAGCGACTCAACAAGTTCTAATGACAATAGTAATGATAATATTAATGATAACAGTAACAGTAATGATAACAATAACAGTAATGATAATAACATTAATGATGACAGTAATGATAGCATTAATGATGACAGTAATGATAGCATTAATGATAACGTTAATGATGACAGTAATGATAGCATTAATGATAACGTTAATGATGACAGTAATGATAGCATTAATGATAACATTAATGATGACAGTAATAGTAACATTAAAGATAATAGTAATGATAACATTAATGATGACAGTAATAGTAACATTAAAGATAATAATAATGATAACATTAATGATGACAGTAATGATAATAATAGTAAAAATAATAATAGTAATAATAGTAGTAATAATAATAATAATAATATCAAAAGTTTACCAAATAAAAACAAAATCGCTAGAGTTGGTAGTGCAACTTCTTCGACACTTTTTCCGCGCCCAACTCGTGCTAGTATATTACGACAAAAAGCATTAGAGGATGCAAAAAATCCTATAAAACCCAGACCAAAATCAACACCTAAACAAAAATCATTATCACTATTAACAACAACCCCGACAAAAACATCACCAATTAGTTCAAATAAGTCAATAAATGGTCCATCTATCAGATCATCTAAATCAACTTCAAATCTCAAAGTTCCTAATGGGTCAAGCTCATCAAGAACATCAAGAGGGCGCTCTCCCAACAAAAAAAGTACATCACCTTCATCATCACGTGCATCATCAGTGTCATCAATTAGATCTGTTGTTTCACCATCTGTTTCACCATCGAGATATGGAGGAGTAAGGCAAACAAGGTCTAGTATATTGCGACAAATGAAATATGATAATACAGATCAAAAACGTGGACGTGATAGAGAACGCAGCGGTATCTCACCAAACTCATCAAGAGCAAATTCTATAGTATCTGTATCATCGGTCACAAGCAACGCAACAACAACATCATCACATCATCAACGTAGAAAGCGATCGCCATCACGAAATTCACAAGCAGCATCCATTGTCTCACCATTTTCGGGTAATTTAGTTACCAGTATACAACCCAAGCCATTTCAAATCAAGTTTGCCACATCTCTCAATCCTGATATTTCGATTGGTAGGCGTGTTATAATTCCAACCAAGGGTAATGCATCCGGTACCATACAATTTTTGGGTGAGACTGAATTTGCCAAAGGTATTTGGGTTGGAGTAGAATTGGATGATTCTGGTAAGTTGCTTGTCATTATTTAATGAGCATTTATTATTATTATTATCATCATTATTAATTTATTTTTTTATATTATTTAGATGGCAAGAATAATGGAACCGTGGCAAACATAAAATATTTTGCAGCTGCAAATAATCATGGTATTTTTGTTAGGCCTGATTCTGTTTTATTAATATGATGATTGATTGATTGATTAATCTGCATAAAAACAATTATTCTAATTTACAATAATAAAAAATTATTTTATTATTAGTTTTATTATTTTTATTATTATTTTTTTTTAAAGACATTTTTAATTTTTTAATTTAATTTTTTTAATTTCATATAATCTGTCATTCATACATTTAGATTTTTTTTAAAAATTTATTTTTGAACATTCGTTGGAGGATTTTTTTTTTTTTCACATGAATTTATTTAAAAAAAATCTTATATATATTAAAAAAAGCATTAATATTGTATTATATTAGAACATTTTAAAAGGAATATTTATAAAATATTTAATAATAATAAAATAATTAGCAAGTATCATTAGTTGGTATATGTGACCAATAATCAAATCAATCAATCAATTCTTACATATTATTTCTTTTTTTTCAGGATAGCTAAGGCTTATTATCAATATTACTTAAAGGACGACCAATAATTTCTCTTAAACCAGCTTCTGAATCACTAATATTTCTTTCTATATATTTTTTTGATTTTCCTAATGCTGTTAAATCCGACACAGTTTTTGTAATTGTTGTTTCAAGATCTGATTTTAATATGTTTATATCAGTTTTAATAAATCTAAAAAAAAAAAATTTATATTAATCAATTCATATTAATTGTTTTTTTTTTTTTTTTTAGAAAAATCAAATATTTACGCTTTTCCAACAGATTTATATGTTCTTATATTTTCATTCAAACTTGATAATTCATGTTTTGTAAGTTCTGCAAAACGTTTTTCTCGTTCTTTGGTCTGGATTTGTGTTTTCACAATGTTCAATTGTCGATTATTCTCTAGTAAACGAGTTTGTAATTCCATTAATACCTTTATTAAAAAAAGATCGTTACAATAAAAAACATCAATAATTGTTTTCCTTTTATCTTATTTTTTATAATTTTTACCTTGTGTAAAGCATCCTCTGGTAAAGACATTGTTTATTGTTAATTATGATTATGATTTATGAGAAATAACAATGGAAAATTCAGTGTGTTACGAACGATTTTAATTAATAAAGCCAGTTGTAAAAAATCACATAATAAAAAAAATTTTATATTTGATATAAATAAACCAAGATTTATTATATAAGTTAAAAATAAATAAAATTTCATACAAAAATTATCTTCTGAATTTTAATGATGGTCCATTTTTGCCCTGACCAAAATTGAAGATAACATTTTTGCTTTGAAGCCTTCCAATTGTTCTATTTGTTTTAAAATCATTAACTTCCTTATTTATTTTTATCGAATCATTAGACTGTGATTCCAATGCAATTACAGATATCGACCTAATAGGAAATTTTATTATTTTTATCATTAAAAATCATTAAAATTGGATTCCATTATGAGTTTAATGAAATGTTTACCCATTATTTTTTTTATCATTCAATTTTTTCCTCTTTTTTTGCATCGACTTTTTTATCTTTTTATTTGAATTTACATCCAGTGCAACGATTTTAATTAATAAAGCCAGTTGTAAAAAATCACATAATAAAAAAAATTTTATATTTGATATAAATAAACCAAGATTTATTATATAAGTTAAAAATAAATAAAATTTCATACAAAAATTATCTTCTGAATTTTAATGATGGTCCATTTTTGCCCTGACCAAAATTGAAGATAACATTTTTGCTTTGAAGCCTTCCAATTGTTCTATTTGTTTTAAAATCATTAACTTCCTTATTTATTTTTATCGAATCATTAGACTGTGATTCCAATGCAATTACAGATATCGACCTAATAGGAAATTTTATTATTTTTATCATTAAAAATCATTAAAATTGGATTCCATTATGAGTTTAATGAAATGTTTACCCATTATTTTTTTTATCATTCAATTTTTTCCTCTTTTTTTGCATCGACTTTTTTATCTTTTTATTTGAATTTACATCCAGTGCATGTTTTCTGTAATTTTAATTAAGACGATATTATTAATTAATAATTAATTAATAATTGGAAAAAAATAAAATCAAACCTTTTTTTAGATTTTTTGTTTTGGTTTTCTTCAACATTAGTATATTCAATTTCCATGTCATCGTCAAAGCTTGCCTTTGTACTTTTAGATATGTCAATATTTTTAATTTCAAGATCTTTTTGTCCTTGGTTAATTTCAACGTCTTGTTTTAATTGATTAGGTTCAGCAGTTGTACAATCGTTAGCTATGTCATTATTTTTATTTTGAATTTCAGCCGCTAGTTCACCTTGGTTATTTTCAACGATTGTCCGCTCATTAATTATATCGTCATCTTGATTTTTAATTTCAACATCTTTTTCACCTTGACTATTTTCGAGCTTGTTAACTATATCAATATTATTTTTTAATATTTCAATATCTTTTTCACATGAATTATTTTCAACAGTTATCGACTTGTTAACTAGATCATCATCATCATCATCATTAAGTTCAACATTTTGTTGACCTTGATTATTTTCAACCAGAGTTGCTGCTTTAGTTGTATTATCATAATTATTTCTAATCTCAGCATCTTGATTATTTTCAACAGTAGTCAACTTGTCAACTATATCAACATCATTGTTTAATATTCCAACAACTTGTAGATTTAGATTATTTTCAACAGGAATTACCTCTTTAGCTATATCATCATCTTGATTTTTAATTTCAACATCTTTCTCACCTATATTATCTTCGGTAGTGATCAATTTGTTAACTATGTCAACATATTTATTTTTAATTTCAACAACTTGTAGATCTTGATTATTTTCTACAGTAGTCAACTCATTAACTATGTCAATATCATTGGTTAATATTTCGACATCTTGTTGATCTTGGTTATTTTCAACAGGAATTACTTTATCTATATCATCATCATTGGTTAACGTTTCAACATCTTGTACATTTTGATTATCTTCAGCTATAACCAACTCATTAACCATATCAACATCATTAGTCGACACTTCAACATCTTTTTCACATTGATTATTTTTAACAGTTATTATTGACTTGTTAATTATATCATCATCATCATCATCATCATTGTTAACTCCAACACTTTGTAGGTCTTGATTATTTTCTGCGGTAGTCAACTCATTAACTATATCAACATCATTGGTTAATATTTCGACATCTTGTTGATCTTGGTTATTTTCAACAGGAATTACTTCTTTATCTATACCATCATCATCGGTTAACATTTCAATATCTTGTACATTTTGATTATCTTCAGCTATAATCAACTCATTAACTATATCAACATCATTAGTCGACATTTCAACATCTTTTTCACATTGATTATTTTTAACAGTTATTATTGATTTGTTAATTATATCCTCATCATCATCATTAATTCCAACGCTTTGTTGATCTTGATTATTTTCAACAGGCGTTACTTCTTTAGTTGTATTATCATCATTATTTTTAATTTCAACATACTCACCTTGATTGTTTTCAACAGCAGTCAACTTGTTAACTATGTCAACATCTTGACGATTTTCAACCGGTGCTATCTCTTTAGCTATATTATCATCATTGTTTTCAATTTCAACACGGTGCTCATATTGACTATTCTCAACGAATATTGCCACATCTTTAACTATATTGGATCGGGACAAGTGGGTAAAAGATGACGGCGATGACTGATTTGTAGATAACTCATTATTTAACAATTCTTCACTGCCCTGTTGCTTCTGATTATTATTTTCAACATTAATTACATCTTCAGTTATATTGTTATTCAACATTTCAACATCATGTTGTTCTCTATTATTATTGCCGTTATTATTGAAAATAACAACACGTAACCCCTCTTTCTCCTCAACAGAGATCTCAATTTTTTTTTTTTGAACATCAATTTGAATATGTTGTTTGTTGCTGTTGCTATTCATCTCTGATTTGGATGAACTTTCAGTCAAATTTATATTATTATTATTATTACTATCAGGCGTTAATGTATCAACAACATCTTCAACTTCATTAGAATTATCTAATGCCTTTTCATCAATAGCTTTTGTATGTGATTCGGTCTTTGCAACCATAACCTTCTCAGCACGAGTATTATTTTCAATTTGATCTTTATTTATTAATTTGGAATATCCCCTGGTAATTCGTCTAAATGGTGAAACGGTATTACTTTTTAGATTGGTCGCTACTACTGATTTGTTCTTTCTTCTACTATTTGTTTTTTTGGATGATGACTTATCATTATTAATCTCACTTATGGTAGTATTAACAGTAGAACCACCATCTTCACCACCATCTTGTACTTCTTTTGATATTATTGGTACTTTTCTTCTATTAGATCGTTTAGAAGGAGACGTCAGCTCGTTTGGCTCAGAAGCAATAACATGATTATCAAGTCGAACTTTTTTAGTGGAATTAGCTTCATTATTATCATTAAAGTTTAATTCAGGAATATCAGGAGATCTATTGCTGTCATGTGAGCGAAGTCTTGATAATATAGGATTTTCTGGTGGTGACATTTGATATAAAATTTTTTTTAAAAGATGAGATTTGCAAAATCCTCGGATCGGCGTTATTCCTTAACTGGTG